AAGGAAAATGCCCTTCTAAATTGGAAGCTCCAAGCTAGCTGTAATAGTCAATGTGCTGGGATAGCATGATACTACCTGGAGAGAAGGTTGGAGATGAAATAGAAAAGGATAAACAGGGGAATGAACATAGAGGTTGTAGAGGAGGAAAGTTTTAAGCCTCTGCTGGCGGGGATGGTATGAACGCACACACACAACACACACACACACATACACACACACACACACACGCACACACACACACACACATACACACACACACACACCACACACACACACACCACACACACACACACGCACACACACACACACGCACACACACACACACACAAATATCTATGTGTATATATATATGTATATATATGTATATATGTATATATTATATATATATATAGCTATATATATATATATATATATACATATATATATATATATATATATATAATATATATATATATATATATAATATATATATATATACATACATAAATGTAGATGCGCAACTGAACAGACAAATATAGACATATAAACAATCTCTCTCCTTCACTCTGATTGACAGGCTAACTACCAAACGAACGCAATTTCCTCCTTGATATTCAGACTTTGCCGAACTGCTAACTTAGGGTTGTTCGCCGCTCTACCCTCTAACCACAACTACGTAGCCTTCAGGTCCTGCGTCACTATGCCCTCAAGAAAGCCCTCTCCACCGACCAAGGCCACTGTCCTGATTTGTAGCTGCCCTGAAATTGCTTCCCTGAAATTGCTGCCCTGGATTTGTTGCTCTGATTTGCTTTCAGAGTAAACTGTTGAGGAATTCATGAAGCACCTCCGCCAAGGTCTTCACTCCATGCTGAGGCCATAATTCACATGCGGGGGTAAATGAACTGAAGGCGCGAGAAAAATACCTTGCAAGCAGAGGTAAATGTAATTGCAAGGGAAATCAACGACCTGAAGGCACTAAGATGAATAAAAGAGAATGTTACAATAGAAACAAAATAAAACCGTGACATTCCGAATTCGCCAGGATTTCCTCGCCAGACATAGTAAAAAAACAAAGTGGGTTGACAAAGTAAATTTTGACAAGAATATAAAGAAAGACCATAAGAACTAAATGAGATATCCCTATACGTTTCTGCGTTTGTGCTGAGTGAGATCATGTTACAAGATATCACGGACTATCAAGAGGACCACAGTCTCCCAATAAACTACGATTCGTGGCATCTCGGAAGACTTGACAGAAGCTTTCCGCTTTACTCCGTCGGCACATTTCTCTCACGAAACATCGCCGCGAAATTTTCGTGATTTTGGGGACAGCTTACCTGAAGAAGCCTATAAGTGAGCGTACGTGCATTCGCCCCGATCCTAAATTGACGTTCCATCTTCTTCCACCTCCATATGGTCTGCTACAGTTGCCCACCCGCTCGAGCCTCGCCCACCTCACCTGGACCCACCGTCACCTTTGTTCCAGTGCCCTCTGCCATCCTTCCGCCACGACCCACCTCTGCAGCATCAAAAAAAAAATCTGAAGGAGCTTCCGGCTACATAATAATGGTGCCTCCTTTCCTCTGTAAGCTAACGACTGAGAAGTAAATGAGTGTAAGTATGACTGTCTCGCAATGTACATCGTGAGAATAAAAAAACATTTGTAACATTAATTACCACTAACAATACTTGCTGTTTGTATGCACGGGTTTGTGTATGTCACGTCATACTATATAAATAGATTAATGAATATATAATTGCCCCTTACGAAGCGGAAGCCAGCCGTCCCCACCGCCGGGTGCGCGGCCCCCTCTGAGACTCCGAGATCTTTCCGGAGAGCGAGACGAGCTCACCATATGTCACTGATAAATATTTTTCCTCATGGGTACAGTCCATAGATTATGCTTGAGCATATATGCATATACACGTGGAAATATGAAAAGTCACCGTCCACAG